CCCCCCCCCCCCCCCCCCCCGGAGGCTACGGCCCTGGCTGCCCACATCCATCTGAACCGTTGACGCCTTTGTAACAGCTATAAGGTGCCTAATAGCTCAAGGCGGCAACTGAAAGAATAATAATAAAAATAATATTAAAAATTAAACAGAATGATTGGTTTTATATAGTCCACATAATATTCTTGTATCCCCACAGCGTGGTATATCTGACTATGTGGTGACCACTATCAGATTGACTAACCGCCACTGACTCTAACGCTCACAGAAACACTATATAATGTCAATAAAATATGCTAAAATATATCTGACAAATCTAAATATAATTCACATTTAGGGATAGGAAATTTAGATTGATTTTATTAAAACGATTGGTCTTTAACGCGGTTGAATGCCTCAATTCTATATTAGCACCAATGGGGTTTTAATAGGGTCGCGCCACAAGGTTATTTTCAGTTGCACCCTGGATTACGCGCGCTTGCTCCGCAAGGTGTCGCTTGTGGTGGGGGGGGGGGGCGTCACAGCCCATATGGTTACTGTGGCCAAGGTGACAGGTACTTCCAAACATTTTATCATAACTGTCATTATTCCTTGTTCTATTCACAAATTTGATATTTTCGGCAATGGAAAATGTGGCAATGGCAAAAGTGGGTCTAGGTGCATTGACAGGCCGCACAGGTGTCCCAATTGACCGCCGCCAGAGAAGAGACCCCAAGTATTAAACAACACAATCTATAGATATTGGAAAATTGGCAAAAGTTAAGCAACTGAGGCTTTATTAGATTTGGGGAGAAATCGAGAGTAATGTCCAGTGACATGCCAAACCCCTAAATTCAAGTCTTGGCCCTTGACACCTGTAACGCACCCCTTAGTCAAGAATCTGAACAAATCAATGTTGGGCAGGTATGCTCTATTTTCTACAGGCGTTTTGTGATTTTATCAACTTGATTGTCAAGTGCCAGACCTTTTGTTCCCAGGTCCTAGTAGCAAACTTTATCAGATAACAATCTGACACTAACAGCGCTGTAAACCCAGTTATCAATGCTGCCATCTTTACCTGTATCTCTACCGGTATTATACCAGTGGTGTGTTTGATATATTTCAGTAAGGAAATATGCTGTGATGCTTATATTTATTTGTAATACGTTAGCATTAACCTGTTAATAAAAACTTGGAACCTTTCAATATTATTACACAATAACAGTATAATGATGGGAGCTGTTATGCTTACAGGGTTACCACTTAATATGGAATATTATTTTTTGGCGAGTAAATGTTCTACAAAATATTTAATTTCTCTCTAACTGCTTTAAATCCAAAGCTGACGCGTCACTCCGTGTGTAGCCAGGTGTGTTACCTAAGTACCACACAACTCTCGAAACAATTGATGCATGCAGTTGCATGTTCTGTGGTCAGAAATGTGAGGGTGGTCTTTTCGGCAATTTCTGCCCTTGTACAAAAACGCATGAGTTTGGTCAATCTTTGGAGTGTGTTAAGAGAAGCAACAACGGGATCGCTCTGAAACTTGACAGGTACTTTAGTGAAGATATGGATCGACAGCTAAGCAACGCAGCTAACTATGGGATTCTTGCTCTCAGAGAAAATGGCCAGAAACGGACAGCCATTGCCAGGTAATTCAACATTTATCAGGAACCGTTTGTGAAGTCCTCCAAAGAAATGCTGCAACAGGGGCAACTACTCCAATACCTCGACCAGGGTGTCCGCGTATCACACTAAGGAGACAGGATCGCCTTCTCATTAGAGGACGCCGTGCTGGTCGTACAAAGACAACCAGTGTCCTCAGAAAAGAGAGGCAGAATGTCATTCAAACGGCCTTTTCAAGGTCCCTCGTGAACAAGAGATTACTGCAAGCCGGTTATTTTGCAAGAAGACCAGTAGGGAAACCAGTGTTAACAGCAGGTCATATACAGCGACGTCTGCAATGGGCAGGGGACCACGTGCGTTTGCAGTCAAAACACTGGAATCACGTTGTTTTCAGTGATGAGACCAGATATGGATTTTTTAGGGTTGAACGTCGAATCCGTGTCCACCGACGTGTACGAGGGGCATAAAACGATGATTGTGTACTGCCTAGGGTGCAAGCAGGGGATGGTAACGTCTCTGTTTGGGGAGCATTTCATGTCGGTGCCCAGAGCCAGTTGTTTTTTCTAGGAGGCAATCTCATCCAGGATTCCTACAGAGACAATACAGCAAACAATGCTTCGATTGGTAAGAGTCATCTTCAGGAACAACTTTATGTACCAAGACGACTGCACAACCCCACATCGAGGCCGCAGAATCTCTGTTTTTCTTCAAAACCAATGGGTTCAGCAATTGCCCTGGCCTGCAAACTCTCTAGATATGAACCCAAATTGAAAATGTGTGGGCGGAAGTAACTCACAGATTTAATAGCTATGGTCCTCGGCCGGTAAATAGTGATGAACTGCGACAGGCAAATATCACTGCGTGGAATGATATCCCCACCCAAACTTTAAAAAAGGTGTCACAGGGTATGCCATGTAGGATGAGGGCGCTGCAAGCGGCTGCTGGAGGTCATACCCGCAATTACTTACTTCTCATGATTTACTGTAGTGAGTTCTTTGACTGTGTAACATATCACTGTCCGGAGGCTATCATTTTGTTTAATATCTTATCTTAAAGTTAATACTGACATCAAACTGTTGATATGGTTTTCTGGGGGTGTTCCTTTCTTTTGAATGGCATCTTATGTCAGATTTGATATTATTGACCAAAATATCTCACAACAGAAGACTGGATGTTATTATCACCAGGTGACATACTTTTTAAGTGACTCAAGCCAAAAAAAAAAATTAATCAGCACTCAAAAATAACAACGATAAAATATATTCCATATTAAGTAGTAACCCTGTAGTTAGAAGAAATAATAAAAACAGACTATGTGAAGTATATAATGAATTGATTTTATTTGAATTATTTATCTATTTATTTTTCAAACCAATTAATTATCATACATGAAGCTTATTTTTAGAAACATCAACATATATTACATTAATATAACCCTGCTGGCACACAGATCTACAGTTCTAAAATGCAAATACCAAGTACCTTTCACACACCACTGCTGAGATGTGAATAATCATATGTATAAAGTAGTAAAAATATCACAAAATGTGTGTAGGAAAGATATTTCTACAAGTAACCTCATTAATCAGTCAGGAAACTTCATAATGCACTCAATAAATATAGAAATCTGAGCAAGAGAAATTCTACATACAGACATGACAGATTTACCATATATTGCCACCAACCCTAAACTGAATGGGCATAGAAAGAACAAAGTGAATCTCCCTCCCATTAAAAATGAATAAAAAATAATAAAAAAAAAACAGATACTGTCATTCTTAATACTGAAAAACAATGGCACCTTGCAGCCTTCACTGCCTCACTATTTGCAGACAATGTTCTAGTCACTGTAACTGTGTACATTTGAGGAGGCATAGACGCAAGGATAACTCCTTTAAAGTATATTATGAAGGTTTCTTTTGTCATAAATCTACCACATATAACCTGAATGTACATATTGCTATTCACACCGCAGCAGCTTGTCTTAGTAAAGACTCAACCAGTTGAAAACTTGTGGCACAGCTTCAGGGACAAGATCACACCAACTACCCTTGCTGTGATGATGGATCTACATTATCTTGTTCTCCTAGTTTCTCTGATGCCATTTCCCCTTGTCTTTGCTCACATCAATCTCTACAGCTTTACTTACTGCTACACAGTTTTTGCATCTGAAAGTATACAGCAAAAATTGTAATAAAGCACTATCAATTTACTTGTTATATATTGATTTCAGGGCGAGAGAAAAAGGCAGAAACCTCATACCATAATCAAAATAATTGAAAATCAAATATGCATAATCAAATAGCTATAATTGTACATACTAGTGATGATTTAATCTTTTAAACTTCAGCATAAATTTTGACTTTCTCTTGTTAAAGCATAGCCACTTTATCAAAATTTGCTTGAAC